GCATATAAAAAGAGTAGGGTCTTGAAATTACTTGCTAAATCATTTGTTGATTAATTTTTAATGATTTATCTTTAAATGATTCTTTAGTAATTTGATATATATTACGAAGATGGCTTATTAAATTGGTAGTGGATCCTTTTCATACATATGTTGTTTCATATTCTTCAATTGAACATTAAGCTTTTTCGGTTTGTTCATCTTGATAATCTATGTATTTTTTAAAAAATTTTCAACTGAAACTTCCTAGTTTTTTTTTTTTTTTTTTAATAACATTTAAATTGCATGTAGATGAAGTCTGAGTAGATGTAGAAGCTAGTGTTCTGCACAATCTGGTTTAGTCTGGGTTTTTATAAAAACTCAGACTCAAATCAAAAAATCGATTCGAGTCTATATTAAAACCCAGAATCATGTCATTTAAACCCAAAATCGAATCAGTAACTTGGTTTTTTCCTTATAAATAAATAAATATAATAAACTTTAATAATTTTTAAATGAAAATAAATACCAATTAAAATGGATTCTTTATAATGAATTTAAGAATATTAAAGAGGTAAAAAAGAGTGGTTTTGCAACTGTATTTCGTGCAGAATAGAATGATCAGGAAGCTACTACAATTGTTGTGCTTAAATTACTACATGGTTCAAAGATGTGTATAAGAGAATTTATTAATTAATTTTCTATGTGAATAAAACTTATACTTTTGCTATAATAACTTTATTTGCATCATAATTACATTCGATCTTAAAAAGTACTGATAGGCAAAATGATAAATAGACTAATATAGCAAAATACTAATAATATCTCAATACTACATTATTTAACAAATTTTCAAATTATTTGTTCTAATTTTTATTGAATTAATATGCTAATATTTGCAAATAGAAATTTCTAAGCTGTGAAATCTTATTACAAGAGCAAGAAAAAAAAAGAAAAAATTGAACTAATTGAAGCATATTCCTTTTAATTACATGATAATTCATGGTTTTTTTTAACCTAGTAAATCAAAACTCAAATACTGTATGAGAATTAAAAAAAAAAAAGAAAAAAAAACCTGATGGAAAAAAAAAAAAACATACTAATTCAATTATTCTTGAGGTTCTTTCTACCATAATCTAAGACACATAGCTGATCGCACTATTTTTTCATTCAATTGGTTTCGTTTATTAGCGATCATATCACTACTAATACTAAATGCCTGTTCACTAGGAATGCTTGTTCCTGGGATTGGAAGACAGTCTCTTGCGAATTTTGAAAGAGTAGGATAATTCATCTCATTTGACCACCATCATTCTAATACATCAATATTTGAATCTATGCATAGCATCATTAAGTAGGTATCTAATTTATTCTGATGATCCATACATACTGACTGATATATCTGCGACATTATTGTAGAATGTGTTGTAGTTTCATGCAATGTACTTTGATTAGAAAAAGATGCATACTCATTTTCATACTTATTTTTAATGACATTTTTGATATCAGTAACGAGTTGTAATGATAAGTCCAGTGATTCAAAATATTTAAACTTAAGTCACAGGTCTAATACTACTAATGCAAAATGTAATATATTCATTTTACTACAATAACTTGTAAGCTTTTTTTTTGCATCTTCGCACCCTTGAATAAGCCAAAATGGTGTATTAACTTTTCTTTTAGCATTTTCAAGCACCCCAATCAATATATAATAAAAAGGAACAGTTATCATTAAGGTTGAATATTCTGATGCTGACATAAATGTTGTTGCATCCTTAAATGATTGTAAGACCTCAACAAGAAGCTCAATTTTTGCTCATTCATCATCCTCAAGAACATACTGATGTAAATTCACTTCACTAAAAGCTATAGTTTTCAATACAACCTTTAATGTAATAGCTCATTTACACATTTCAAGTATAGAATTCCAGTGGGTAACAATGTCAAGAATTGGCTTTATTACTTTTATATTATGTATGAAGCAAGTAGTCTTTAATTTTTTACGATGCAAACGTGATTCCTGAATGCTTCTAATTAATTCTTGTAATTTATTCAGTTCATTTCCTGCAATGCTTAATAAACTATGAATGGCGAGGTTTAAAATATATATGAAACATCTTATAGATTGTTGTCTATAATCAAAATAAAGACCCAACTGCTCTAGAGAATTAGAAAGATCTTGTATGAATTTAATATTAGAGACAGCATTATCATGCATAATAGCCATAAGCTTTGGCATAATTCCTATTGACTGAAGCCACTCTTCTATATTATTCATGATTTCAAGACCTAATAGGAATTGTAAAAGTTAATAAAAAAAATACTTAATTAATAATTAACTATTAAATAATTTACTGATTAAATTTATTATATAAATACAATTAATCACTATTGATTATATTACATTTGATTATACAGTATACATTTAATTATATTACATTTGATTCTTTTTATAATTACTACCTGAATGTGGACCATCCATATTTATAAAATCTAAGAGAATGCTTTTTAGCTTTCAAGAAGTATTCAAGTAATGAAGGGTAACTGCTATAAAGAATTTTTCATTGGTATTCATTATCCATATATCAGTCATAACTGAAAATTTCTCAGAAATTCTCTGTAACTTCACCATAAGCTTGCGGTGTTCTTTTTCAAAGTCATTCATAACATATCTTTTTATAGAATCTGCAGAGAGCACATTTGCCTAAGGTTCTAAATATGCAAATATTTCCTTGAGTTCATTATCTTCAACAATGCTGAATGATCAATTGTGTTTAACAATCCAATGTTTGATAAGATCTTTAAAAATGTTTAAATCAAAAGGTTCACTAGAATGATTATTAACAGTTTGCTGATTTTGAAGCATGTCGATAACAGAAACATTCAGCTTCTTCTTTTCTTTATTCAGTTCAGGTACCTTTCCTACATGTTTGGTGAGATGTTTTCTAAGGCTTGATGTTGATTCATCAATACATTTTATTAATGTTTTTTTAGAGATACAAAGAGTACATCTTGCATAAGAGGTTTTTTTTTCTTTACAAAATACTTCCACACAAAAGACCTAGTACATAGTTGTAATGGTTTGCCGGTTTCATTTACTTCCATAGTATCATCATTAATACAAGAAGAATTCACAGATAAATTGTCTATTTCATTATTGTCTATAAAAAAATAGCTTATACTGTAATTGTTCTCTTCAAAGTCTTCCATAATAGCAAAAAAAAAAGAGAGATACAATTCAACAGTTTTTTAATAAACTCTTGCCTTAGTTTTAACAAGAACTGGTTCAAAAAATTAGAGCTGTTTTTTTTTTTTTTTGAATTGTGTGATATAAAAGTAAGTTCTAGACTAGAAGTAATGTCTTAGAAAAATTTTTTCCATGTATTGTTTATTATCGTATTGTTTGTCATCGTATTGTTCATTGAAGGCAGGTGATTAAACATGCAAGTCTATGCAGGTCCTACCAGGTACCTATTATTACAAACCCAAATCGGTCAGTTCTGAAAAATTGTAAACCCGAACTCGAACTACCAAGTCATTTCTGGTTTGAGTCCGGGTTTCGGTCTGAGTCTGTGGAACACTACTTATAGATGCCAACTTGTTGTCGATTCAGCTACTTATAAAGTATTTGGCTTAACTTATCCTATCTACTGCAGCATAGCGAACTTTTGATATGATTGGCTAATTTTTATTGATCATTTTGTTGATTTTTCTAAAACATAATTGGTTGATAAAATTAAATTAAATAATTATTGAAATTAATTTTAAATATGCCAAAATCATTTAAAAGAGTACCAAATTAAATTTGCATCAGATAATAAATGTATCCTATTCTACTAGTGTATATTTTTTTCTCAAATTAAATTTTAATTTGCTGCTTATAATATATCTATAAATGGTGAATGTAAGGTGTTCATTTATCATTATTAGCAATCGAAAGTATGCAGCAATTTTTTCTTAGGAGTTTCCATAATAAAAATTTTATTAGTACAATGTAAAAATATAATTAATATTTAATTATATAATTTAATAAAGTAAAAATTTTATGTAAAAATTTAACCAGTTCAATTAAAAATTTAATAAAAAAATCAATCTGATTTAAAATTTTTTAAAATTTTAAAATTTTATTTAAAAAAAAAATGATATACATATAGTTTACTCAATTATGCCATCATTAAAATATTTATAGCCCTCTCAATATGTAAATCTATATTATTCTCAATGGAGAGACCTTTAGCACCAATATTAGTACTATTACTAGCTTCAGTTTTATCTGTCCTATTTATCTCATTTACATTCTCATTCATTTTTATCTTAGTATTTGATTCCAAGGTTTTTTGAAAAGCTTTACAATTACTTTTAATTCTGCTTATAAGATAATTGGCACAGTATTAGCATTAACTGTCTAAATTAAATAAAAAACATTTGAAGTAATAAGCATGTTCACAAATAAAATGCAACCTACTTTGCAAGAATTCACACAACTTTCCAAATCACAATATCTGTCTTCTCAAGGAGGGTGTATTGTATTTCAAGCCATTGGCAATACCTTGATATCAACTTTAGCATTTAGTGCTGGAAGATCATACAATTCTGTTTCAAAACCTTCATTAGATAAAACAGTCTTTGATTTACTGATATTTGTATAGACATCTGTAAAAAGATTTAATAAAAAAAGTGCTGCACATTTTTCAAGATATTTCAGCTGTTTAGCTAAATATCTAATATTGTGGCACTCAAAAAATGTATTAGTAAATAAGTTTATACCATGCATTTAATTGATTATTTACATCTGTTGAATAATTTGGTCTGCCATGTTTTATTCCTGTATTTGATACTAAAAAGAACTGTAGAAGTTTTCTATATAATAATCATTGAAAATATGAAGGAAATTTAGAAAAATAAATGAAATTGAATAATTAGTATTAATTCAGAAAAAAATGTCACTTAGAAATGCTAATGGCAATTTGTTGTAATGTCAATATTGATATTGATAAAAGATTGTCCAAATGCAAAACATAGATTCCAAATATGCTGTCCAATTTCTACTATGAAATATAATTGAATAGAAATCTAAAACTAACAGAATAATGTTGTCTAACAAGTTAATAAGGTATTTTGCTTCTAAATCTTTAGACTGTTTGAATTTTTGTAAAACTGGCAAACATACTTGAGACCAACCTTGTAATACTAATTCTAGAAGTAAATTAATTTTATAAGGTTTTGGCTTTTGTGTCAAAACCTTATTTTCTCCAAATATTTTATGAAAAAACTTTCAAAAAATTCATAATTTGATAAAAACACTGTTTCATGACTATTTAAGAATATGTATTAAGGTCCAATCATTAGAACAATATGCAAAATTTGTTCTAGTATTTCAGAAGTATTCATGTCCTTAATATGATGTGTAATAGCATGCCATATATGAAGTTGTTTAGGATAGTCCATAGGTGCTACTAATATCTATGTTTCCAAGTAGGTTTTTATTTCAGAAATATCTATCATATAATTAACTGTATTCATATAATTTTCAATTGATTTAAAAGACCTTACTTTTAAATCAACTAGCTTTGTATTTTTTATACTTCGATTAGTATAACATTGCTCAATTCTATCATCATAGCTATGAATTAAAAGATGCTTAACTCTTTCATCATGAGTCTCTAACATAGGTGTTAAATTAGCAAATGCTTGCTTTTATTTCATATAACTAAGCTATAAATAAGAAAAAAAAAGAATTATTATTTGATATAATAATGCTTGAATCAATATCTCTTCATTATGAACATTTTTAGCTTGGTTATATAGGTTGTAAAACAGAATAGAAGTTAAGTTCAGTAAAGCTTTCAAAAGTGTTATAATAAAATAACTGATATCATAAGTATTTGTTACATTACTGTAGTGATATTTATGAATATTGTAAAAATCATCTAAATTAAAATGATTAAATTCTCATTCTATAAAAAAGTAAATAACTTAATTTATTATTTATTATAAAACAAAACCTGTAAATATATTTGTATACTTACATTATTGGTCAAAAATTTTTCTACTATCATCGTATGCCCTTTTGATTGCTAAGCTTTCTGTCTTGTAATAGTTATGTGCCTTATTGTCAAGTCTGCTCTAGCAAGTGTCTCTATTACTGACGAAGAAGTTCCAGAAACATTTAATATAAATCCAACCTTAGCTTTAATTCTGTTAATAAACTTATTATTAAGCCCTACTAAAAAATAACAAAATGCAATCAATCTTTGTTTATTCCTTTTGTTAGTTATATTATTCTTATTTTGTAGGTTAGTGCCAGCTATCAATTGATTAAAAAAACCTTTCAATAATGATTCTGATTTCTCAAGCATTTTTTTGAATTCTTTTGAATCTAAAATAGGCTTTTTGTTATACACTTGTTGTCTCATATACAATACCTTAGCCATTAACTTGATCTTTTTACTTAAAGAAATTAATTCTGAAAAAATTAATTATATAAAAAATAATTTAAATACAATTATAAAAGAAATAAAAAGAAAACAATAATAATAAATAATAATTATTATTTTTGAATTACCTAGCTTTGTTTCATCAAGCTCTGTACAAATGTTATTATATGTGACCTCCAGCTCTTGAAATTCAGCTTTGGAATAAATAACATCGCTATGCAAAATATATAACCTATCTTTAAACTGTCTAAAATTTTTTTTTAAAACCCTTTCTTTAGCTTGTAGATAATTTAATATACTAATATACTCAAAATCTTTGTCAGTTTCATATAGACAGTAGTAACACATCATCATCTCCAGTAGTAATCCAAAAAACTCAATTAGCTGTTCTGGTGCCTTCTTTAATTTCTTTTCTTGCTTGTTTTTAGCTGTAGATCTATAAAAATCATGTTTGAGATGAGAACAAGTATTGGTTTTTTGTATTTTTGCATTTATAATCAACTGATTATAATATTTTTGGCATAGTGATTTGCTAACCAAGTTCAGATGTTGGCTAAAACTTGGTATTGCAACTAGATCAGAAACAAGAGTTGCACCAAACAGTTCATAATTATAAACAATATCATCTCAACTCTCTAATTCACAGTGCTGAGCTTTTTTTTTTTTTTTCTTTGAAAGAGGGTTTTTTTTACTGTAGGGTTGTTTGGTATCTATTTTGCGATCTAGATTTATTTTAATAAATTGCCTATTATAACAAATCAAAAAAAAGCTTCTCTTAGCTAAGTTCTAAATTACTTCGCAGATTACCAAATTATTTTGACAACCTATGAAGTAATATGTAAACTATAAGAATTTTTTGTTCTTAACCTTTGCAAATTTATCACTGAGGCTGCGAATCCATTTGTGCGATTGTGAAACATTATGCTAACATGTAAAACATAGTTGTATAACATTTGATCAACAATCCAATCAGATTTCAAGTTCGCTATGCTATCTATTGCATATGCCATATTGCCCAATATTTATATAAGAATTTAAGGAAAATTTTAGACAATGAGTATCAAAAGTTTCTTGAAAAATTTTATTGTTGTCATAATAGCTTTGTTAAAGATATATTTCATTAAAGATTTAATAGACTTTTATGTGATTATTCTAATGCTCAAAAGTATTTAAAATTTATTTTAAAATTAAAAACATATTAGACACATTGTTTTACTAGGTTTAGATTTACAGATAAATTCTTTTTTTAAAAAAACAATTTATTTGATTTAGTTGGTTTTAAAATAACTATTTATTTTAATTTTTTTAGATAGCATTATAGCAATCTCTTATATGAAATCAGTGAATAGATGTTTGAAATGCTTGTTACATAATTCAAATATTTCATTATATGACCTTATGTTAGAAATTCATTAACTTCTTGATATGTAAGACAAAGAAAATGAATATAAATTTTGAAAATTATCAATTTCTACTATAAGAAGTCAAAGCAATTCAAATTTCCTATTTACTAAAATAGACCAATACCTTCAATGTTATCTCATATCTACTATGTTGAAAATATATAGAAATGAAATGAACCAATCATTGTACTATATAGCAATTCTTATAAATATAGAAAATACTGAAATTACAAATAAGATAAGTAAATAATTACTTTATAAATAGCAATAGATTAATAGGTTGACCAAAATTTAGCAGATTAATCAAAATTTCTAGTCATGCAACTTTTTAGATAAATTTATTATTATATAGTATTAGGACATATATAGA